CCCCCCCCCCCCCCCCCCCCCCCCCCCCCCCCACAGTCCCGAAACTAGTAAGCCAAAAGAAAAAGGAAAAGATGTTCTTGTTTGTATGTCTGCGTGTTATCAGAGCCCGTGGGCCTCCGTTTGCCTCCTCCGGAGCTACAACCGTTATCGCAGACAGCCGTGCCTCGACAGTCACCAGCTCCCACTCACTTTCCTGCGGCTGCGGCCCCCCGAGGCAGGCTGCAACCGGCTACAGGGCCCCTACCGAGGGCCCCATTGTCTCCATCAGCACACTTTCAGTTGAAAACCCAGGGCGCTCTCCAAGCTCATTGTGAGTGAGCTAACATCCTCTTTTCAAAAGGGGCTAAACGCATGTTCATTAATTATCTGGATCCTCGTTAATTGGATTAATTGTTCAATAGAAACCGTGTTATTAAAAATGACGAAAACACAAGGGCAAGGGGGAAAAGGGGGGATTAATATCGTTACTGTTTACTCTCGGGCTGTCAGAAGACACAAGCATGCACAGGCTCTCACACACACATACGCACACACACATTTAAGTATGCTCTGCCTCTCTAACTCTGCATTTCTATTTCACACACACATCAACACACACAGAAGCCGTATGTGACCCAACTCAGAAGAATGAGCGCTAGGCGAGCTGCAAATTATCATGCACACCATTGAGATAAGAACTAAACCCATTCTCAAAGCTCAGAATAAATGCCAGATTCTTTTTGATGCAAGAGGTCCGTGACTTTTTCCAGCGCTTATATTCAAAGAATAAGGGAGGGGGGAAAAAAGATATAGAAACATAAAGTCAACACCATGAACAATTTAGCTATCTCCAAGTTACATGAAACATGGGGTTTCTCATTCCCTCTGCCTATCTACACACTCTTATCCACCAAAATCCCTTATCAGCGTTTGACTTCAAGGGATGTTTTCTCCCTCTTGCTTTAAGATGGCGCGCTGATATTGCAGACCATTTGGATGACGGGACTACTATTACATGTTTTTCTTTAATTGGTGGAGGTGCAACTGTCAAACCTCTGTTTCCCCGTGGTCTCTGTTTGAAATTGTGACAATCGTAAATACCAGACGCCCCCAGAAGACAATGGATATGATGGTGGTGCACTTCAAGTGTTAAGCTGTTAAATCCAATCAAATGACATCATTTTCATGTTGATGTATAGTGGGCAGTTACAAACAAAAGTCCCCAGGTGATTGTCTGAGCATCAACTGACGTTCGACCATAATTATAGCCATAACATGTTGTAGTTATACGCTGGCTGGAGGGCAGAGAAGCAGGATCCAGGTTGTTAAGGCAACTGTATCTGTCATCCTGCTTTGATGTGGAGGCTCCTGTCGCCTGCTGCACTGCCAAATGCTATTATCTGGGACCAGAAGACTGATTGAACATGTTTTTTCGGGACATTTTTTTTGTGTAAGCAAGTTTACGATCTGTATATATGTTGTAAGTGGGTGTCATATGTCACTTACGTAAATGATGCGGAGACATCATTTCAGTATAATTAAACTTGTCCCAAGACATCATCAGATCGAGTGTTCTTTGATCAATTTATTGGACGTACTGCACTAATACTGAGCGCTTGGATTTAATTTACTATTCTCTATGCTAACACAGTGGCGACAAACTGCAGCCAGAAGGCCATAGTGCAGCTGTTTGAGCATTCATGCACCCGGCGTGGGGACTACTTTTACAAAGACATGAGTGGGTGAGCAGTAAGTGGACAAATTGAATGGTGGCCAAGGTCAGGGCTCAGATTTAGTTGGGTCCCTCTCAGCCAACAGCTGTTAAAATAAAAAACGGACCAGTCATGGTTTATTTTAACACTAAGCAGGATGAGAGAGGAGGTAGCTTGTTTGTGTGTGTGTGTGTGCCATTGATCAGGGATGTTAATCTTCAGAGGATATGTAGAGAGGTCCTCCCAAGGACAGGACAATGAAAAGGCCCTATTGATTACTGGAAAGTTGATCAATCGGTCCCAAGACAGATAACAAGATGTACAAGTCTTGAGTAACAAACGGTATCTTGTAAAATATTGCACAGGATTTTTTTTTCTTCATTTTTTGGCACCCAAATGTGAAGCATATATCCAAAGTCTGATTTGGTTGGTCTTGGCAAGTGTACCTCGGTCACACACTCACACACACACGCATTGTGTGAAGTGGGAGACTGAACACACATTCAACCCACGTGTGACTCTTCAAACCAGATCACTAGTCCGTACCAGATTAGTATACCCATACGTTGCTAAACCATACAAATTACACTAGACCTTGGAAAATCAATGTGACGAATTGGGCTGATGTGCCTTCCAGTAGTCACTCACTGGAACATTGTTTTCACACTGAATGTGCAGCATGAAGGGCCGTGCTAAAGATTTTGTGTAACATAGAGGAGGGCGAAAGGGAAGCAACATAAAACCTGTTGGAACCGGCAAAAAAAGTTATTTTTCTGGAGCAGATATAGGAAGGGAAAGAGGCCTGTGAGTGTTGATAATAATTCCAAAGAGATAAATATAAGAAAAAGAGGAATCCTAACTCTATCTTTAAAGGATTTACTTTGCTGTCCACTTTTCCCTCTCAGTATTGTCATGGGCACTGCTTTTGGTGTTTAAATTTATGAGATCACTGAAGACAGTGCCGTACAATTAGTTCACACAAAGAGTATTATTGGAGACATTTTTAACTGATACAATGTTGCAATAAGTGAGGGAAAAGAGAAAGAAAGACATATGTGCTGTTCTGTGTGTTGACAACACTTCATGTGGCACTGTGAGCGTTCCTGCGCACTGCACTCCATTGGCCCAAATTTCTGTCCATCATTCCACCAACCCACCCCACTCCACCCTGCTGGCTCCGATCGGAGCGCTCATTGGTTCTCCCATTAGTCCACTGAAAGCCCCACTGGCCAATAGCCGTGGAGGAGGATGGAACCTTTCCGGTGGATCAGTCTCTCGCGCCCACAGTGGTAGAATCGAACGTCCCCGAGCGCACACGGCGTAGAGGACAGTACGGCGCACGAGTCTCTGGAAGGAAGATAACGGGTTTCTTTTTTTGTCCCCTCTCCACTCAAACAACAAGAACAAACCAAACCTGAATTTTTAGGGGGGTTTACAGAGTCTTCTCGTCTCAAGGAGGAGGGAAGCGAGGGATTGGAGCCGCAAGTTTTTTTTTTTTCTTTTTCGTTTTTTTTCTCCTTTTCCCCTAAAAGAGGATTCTGTGTTTCACGGTGGTTTGTTCTCCGCTCTCGCCGCAAAGATGATGGTCGGAGAGGTCGAAGTGAAGGAGCGACCGAGGCCGAGTCCCGACTATTTGATGCAATTATTAAACGAGAAGAAGCTCATGACCAGTTTGCCAAATCTCTGCGGCATCTTCACACACCTGGAGAGGCTTCTCGATGAAGGTAAGTGTTGGTGAGACGCCGTGGAGGGGGACGCGTGACCGCGGCGCCGTCCGGCGTCCCTTGCTTGCACAACGTCGGCGAGACCCGTACGCACAGTTTCAACGGGTACACCGATATAGAAAAGAAAAAAAACTTCCCCAAATACGACCTCACGTCCAAAACAGTCAATCCACCAGTTTCACGAGAGTCTGTAAGACCACGACGCGATGTGGACTTGAGAGTTGTGTTGCTAACGTTAAGGCTTCCACGGAGTTGTTGCTCCACTCTCGACTTTGTGTCAACGAGACGAAAACTTTCTCCCACGCAGTTAAGAAAAATAAAAACTGCCTATCGCTGGCAACGTGTTGACGACAACTGACCACAGAGATGTTTTGAATCCACCCGTTATGTGTATTAAATGCGTATCTCAAGAAATTTAGACTGGGGGGGGGCCTGATTCCACATGTTCCACAGCAACTTAGCTGCGGGTTAGCCACATTTTAAGCTAACGAGCCTGGGTGTCTGCATTCCGTTGAACTCTTCGGGAACCAACGGTCGCGTTAACTTAAAGCTACGTCTTCAAATAAAGACCCAGCCAGTCAATAACTGCGTCTCAGACAAAATGCGAAAGAAGCGTAACAAATGTTTGACTTTCTTTCTTTCTTTTTTTTTTTTTGCTCTTGTGTGAGTTGTTGCCCAGCGGCCGAGCTTAAAAAGCACGGAGGAATGTGTCTGCTTGTTGCCCAAACAATGGCCAGTTAGTTGTTGCTGAGAGGGCGAGTACACGATTTCAAATGGCTAACTTTTTTTTTTTTTTTGTATTAAAAAGGAGCACCGTTTTGTCTTCCTTCACACGTCCACTACGTATTTCATTCTCTTGCTGCAGCAGTCGTCGTGTTTTTCGCCAGTCAACGCGTGCTCTACCACAATTGCGTCGCCTTTTTTTTGTGTGTCGGCGGCGGCGCCGTCCAGACCTGTCTGTCTACGTGTATATTGTCGCTGGTTTCTTTGGCACTAAGCAGCGGCCGCTGTAAGACGAGGCTTATTCACCGTTTATGTGTCTAGTGTCACTAACATAAGCCGGTGTAAGCGTAAGGTTGGACCTATGCATTATGTAACTGAGCTGGGACACTAGAGAGCGCCACAGCCCCCTTAGCACGCGTGTGTGTAGTGTCGGGACTGGACACCATGACACTTGTGATACGTAAAGATAAAAGGCACAATGCAGAGTACTTTACTGGAAAAACCATTGGCGTCTTCGTGGACGCAAAGAGCTGTGCATCCGCCAGTTTCGGTTGCATGCCTGGATGAGTAGCCTCCGTAGTATGTAGTTGCTAAACCGGTTGGTAGTGATTTTCTTGCTCCCTTGAATGGCGATAAAGGAAGGACTTAAAGACGTTAAGTTGGCTATATCCTCACCATTTCACTATTGCAGCAGTGCAAAAATACATGTTTAAACATTAAATATAACACCTCTACTCAAATCAAGTTTAAATTTAAATGTTATTTCGGTGCAGTAGATATAGTTAGGTCCCACTGATCTGCCTAAAGAATGCCACTGACACACTGATTATAGAGATAATATAGTCCTTTCGTCTGGAAAAAATGGCACTCTAGTTTCAGACTGAGACCTCCAGATAAGCAGTTAAGCAATAAATAACAATGTTCTGAAAAAAAACGAGGGATACGTTTCCTTTCAAACCAGATTATGTCATTAATAGTACCACGTTTGATAACTCCAAACCCCGTTAACGCCTTACAAAAGAGGAATAATAGATTTTTTTTTTTTTAATTCCGAAAGAGACAATTGCTTTTTAGGACTCTATTGGGAATGGTGGGTGTGTTGGGAGAGTCAGGAAGCAGACTTGTTTTCTTTTTCATTCCTGATCCCCTTTGGTATTTCCCAGCCCCCATAGTCGTAGACCCTAAAATTCTCTGAGCAGTAAAGAAAAGGGATCCCGCACACAGTCTGTGTACCTCTCATTTACTCTAACAACTCAAAGCCGTTGGTGCGCTGTGAGCGCAAAGCAAGAAACCATGTTCTCTTCTTCTGTGTGGTCAGCAGGGACTTAAAAAAACGAAATGTATAATACATTTACACTTGTAGTCAGGTCTATAGTCACTGTTCTTTGTGTTTTGTCTGTGCGCCAACAGAGGGACTAAAGCATGGGGAAGGAAATGTAGTAATTTTGTGTGCTGAATGTTGAGGGAGTCATAGGGAGTAAGTGCATGAAAGACATTTAACATGTAGGAGAATGTAAATACTGTCGTAGGCCTACTCATTGTGACCAGTGGGGATTTACGGTTACAAAGTTATGATTTGCTTTATTTGCAAAAAATGAATTGAAGGCAATTTTGATGTCTGAAACTGATGGCGGAACTGCTTCGTCATTCTTTCTTAAAAGAAAAACTGGTCTGTAATTTGATGTCTTGCACCATATGTTGTTGGGACTTTGGAGAAACTGGTTTCTTCGGGGTTTAGAAATCAATCTGTAATGCCGGACTGGTCCGACGCTCCTCTGTCACACTCGACGGATAAAAATGCTCCCCCTCTCTTGTGCGTAAGAAATCATGACTGGAACACTCATAACTTTCCAGCTCCTTTCTCTCTCCTCTGAAACCACACCAGTCTGAGGTTTACGAGCGTTTCCACAGCACCAGGCTAAACTTTATCCTGCTGCCAGAAATTGCGTGTGTGAGATGAAAGCCACCCTGGCGCAGAGGAGGCCTGTCTGGTTCCCGTTAGGGGCGGTCTGGTTTGCGTTCCCCTTTTGAAACGGAGCTGTAGCTCTGATGTGATATTCGGGGCCCTCCCTGACTAGTGAACACTGACCCCACCCAGGGTAAAACCCAAAACACAATTTCTATTCCTCTAAAATGACAGAAGAAACCCTAAAGAGCGCTCTATTTATTATTCCTTTGCAATGACCTCGTACTTTGAGAAGTCAAGTGTGTGTTATTTTTAATGCACTGTGCTATGTGGCCTGTGCTGTCGGAGTGCTGCAATTCAGGAAGCTCAGAAAGTTATTTTTAAGAATTTTTTTTTAATGGTAGTTTGAGGTTGTATTTGTGTGATAAACATTTTAATGCTGATCAGTGAAGCATGTTTTGTGATTGTGGTCTTTGCCAGCTGCAAAGATAAACGTCACACTTGACTGCAACTTCCAGTCAGACTCCAGACGGGTTTCTTTACCTTGTGGTAGTGTGTTGTGAATTACGTTTGATGTGAAAAGTTATTTTGTTTGGTGTGTGTGTAGTTTTCTCCTCAAGAGAAATCATTGAAAGCAGGTGTCATTTCAAGGCAACAATGAGAGAGCACGAAAAGCTATTTATTCTCAAGCAGAGGGAGAAACATAACCAGTCCGTGTAGAGCGATCAAAAGTGAGGAGAAAATCCAAAAGAAATGCAGTTAAGGGCCGTCCTAACCCGTCAACAAGGCGTCTCCTCTGGGACCAAAGTTTCTATGTGTTGTTGATAAAATGACAATGACGAGTAAATACAGTTTCGTGGGCTTAAATGTGATTGAACGTCTAAAATTTGGCCTAATGAGAGTAAAAAAATCTAGCTACGCCACAAACTCTTTCCCAAAGTGTCCATCTCTTAAGAGTATACCCTTTCGACAGCTGCACCCCCCCTCGTTTTGTGCATGTCTACACAGCTGTTTCCTCGGCGGAAGAAAACTGACACCACCCTTGTGTGTGACGACTGCTTCCATTGCTTTAGTGGCGTGAGTGCATGGGCGCCCTTGTTAAGTTCCCAATATGTGTAGTCCCTCAAGGTCACTCTGGCTGATCGACGGGCCCCTTTTGAAATCCCCTTGCGTTGCAGTTGTTCATCCCCCTGAGGTGACACCTGCTACGGAGTTATTTTTTTTTTACTCCTCTTTACGATCTGCCAGCCAACAAGCTGCTTCAAATCGCTATATTTTCTCTTGGCAGGAGGAGACAGCCCATATAACATCTAGAGACACAGCCTAGTACTGAAGTGCAGGCGCTGTTGTAAGCTAGAGGAGAAAGTGAAGTTTGCTTTTTTTTTGTTGTCATGCAGTGTTTTTAGTGTTTCTATGGAGAACAGAATAGTTGGATTGATTGAAAGTATTCATTCCAGGCTCTCCTTAGCTTTCCTTCCAGGCTCATTTTTCAGCTTCGTTTGTATAATAGATTAAATGTTCCGTTGTTCCGTTGCACGCTGTGTTGCGGAGCCACATGGTGCATTGTACCCTTTTTTATTTTTTTTTATTTTTCTTCCCTGGCTACAGCACCCCCCCCTTTACATATACAGTTTTGTATCTGCTTGTTTGTCTCTGTGTGTGCCTTGATTTAACAGGACCCTTCCCAGGAGAGCTGTCAGCGTCTGGAGGACAAACTGTCTGCTGTCCACTATGGTGCCTGCCTGTGTAGGGAACGGGTCCTTTGGGAACAGCTGTTTAGAGGACAGATTTTGATAAATGAGGGAATGCCAGAAATCTGTTTGGTTTTCTACCTGATGTCCCATATTTCTGTCAATCTCGTTTCTTTGTCTTTCTGTGTCTGGCTGTTGTAGCACTGTCCTGGCCCGCTGTAGGTTAACCCTTGGCAAGACCTCTGACCCACAATCAATCTAGCAGCTAACAAGACTGGGTACAGCTTGTAAAATAAGAAACCACTTCGCCCTGTGAGAGAGCACAGGAATAGAGATATGAGGGTGTTAGGCCGGGACTGTTGTCGCATGCTGAAACGTGTTATAACCCCAGTCCCCCTTTCTTCTCCCCACATTCTCTCCCAAAGCACCACTTATAAGCTGGAATTTAATTAACTGGGAGCCATTCTGTGAGCTGGTTTACTGAGCTGTCGCCACCAGTGAGAAAGCAGAATTGGAGCCTTTGTGCCGTATTTCTCTGTCTGGCTCTCTCTTGCACTCATGTGATCCTTTTTTTCCCCTCAGTCTCTCCTCCCTGGTAATAAATTAGGTGGTGGCATGAGTGTGACAGGGTGCCGTGTAGGGGTTGTGGCAGGACCCAGCGGTGCCTTGCCGGTCGTCCT